AGTTGTTCCATAGTGGATGAAGACGTTGCCACGAAGTGGCAGATAGGTGCCACCTGATGACGATAGTTGAAGACGAGGCCGACCTTTCCTTTGGCAGTGCGACCTTAGCAGTCGCCGTTTGTTCCTTTTAGCAGATGCCGGTTTCTTCATTTAGGCCAGTTTCTTCCTTTGGAATGATTGGCAGGCGCCGGCAGCCTCACTTGCCGTAGGTTCCTACCGTTTCGTCTCTGGCCTGTTTCTTTCGTTAAAGAGAATGAGAAGGGCGTATGATTTGGGGAAGGAAGGGCCTATTTGCAATATTGACGTTTTTAAACAAATATCTTGACGTGGATTAAATAACGAATCAGATTATGTGCTATCCATATATATCACACGTGGAGTGCCAGGTTATAATTATCTATAACCATATATGTGCATACGGATGTATATAGTTATTATATATATCCATACTAATTAGCCACAAAATTCATGAGCCCATTATTATATGAACCAATCACCTTTTAATTTTCTTGGAAGACTATTCTTTAATAAAGTTTGAAACTTTATCTATCTTTCAAGACTTGGACAAAAGTCAACTTTCATGTTGAAAATAATCCAACATTTCCCCCCTATTTTCAAAATGAAAGAAAATCATAATAATAATAATAAAAAATATGTACATAAACAAGGCTAGGAATTTATGCATTAATATTGGTGTCTCACGACTTGAACCAATATGTAGTGTATACATCTCAAAGTCAATAAAGAAATAATGGTTGACGAATCATTGAACCAATTTCCCATATAATCAACCGGAGACGATTACACACACAAATTATCCAACGTTACAAGAGTATTTTTACAATGCCGACACGTGAATTGGCCATGCGTCCATATCCTGTTCATGAGTGATCTAGAGTCAAGCCCATAACTCATATAAAGCGGCACCACTTTAAACACTCATATAGGTGAACTTTGTGCTCTCGCAGCTGTAAACACTTGCAAGTTCATTAAGAGCCTTCTGCTCATCCTCTCTGTACTACTACGAACAACAAGCACTAGAACTTTTGAGATATTACAAATTTATTTGTGCTTCAATCACTACATATAATGTACTTTAGCCATTGAACTAGTACTCTTAATGTTTTAAGAGTCAAGTTGGTTTTCCATTATTGGTGATCATTAAACGGGCATAAGACCCATCCCTTTGGAGGTCTTAAAGACCAAGTCCCTCGACAATCCCTTTGTAAGCGGATCAGCCAAATTCTGAAAAGATCTTACAAAGTTTATAGTTATCACACCATCAGTGATCAATCGCCGTACATAGCTATGTCGAAGTCCAATGTGTCTGGATTTTCCATTATAAATGTTGCTATAGGCTCTAGACAGAGTGGCCTCACTATCACAGTGGATAGACAATGGTGACACCGGTTTTGGCCACAGTTTTTTTTTTTTTTTGCTTTTCATCCATAGAACGTCTTAAAAAATAACTAGTTTTATTTAGAGAAACTCAATATATTTTAGTCATATATACCCCAAGAAATTATTTTTTACTCCCTTTATTCCTAAATAAATTCATTATTTTGATATATAAAATCTAATGGTAAAATAATGTTTTGAGAAGATTCCATTGCGTAAATAACTAAATAATGAATTGCAGCTTCATTTTAGGACAAAGCTAAGAATGTTCTACTTTATTATTAAAAGGTTTTCTAGTGATTTTTGTGTGTGCACAAACTACACATTTATCATCCAACTCGACATCATGTTTTGGAATTAAGCCTAACTTTGCCATGTCCTTCATACGTTTAGTATTAACATGTCCTAATCTCGAATGCCATAATGAAGAAGAAGCAACAATATAAGCAGAACAGTTCTTTATTTCATTGATATTAAGCTTAAACATGCCTTCGTACAGATATCCTTTTCTTACAAATACCCCTCCTTTAGTCAGTACAAACTTATCACTCTCAAACACCAGTTTAAAACCATGTTTGTTAAGGAGAGCTACAGACACCAGATTCTTTCTAACATCAGGTACATGATACACATTAGTTATAGACAACATTTTTCCAGAAGTAAATTCCAGATCAACTTGTCCAACACCTTTGATCATGGCAGTAGAAGAATTCCCCATGTACATGACACTTCCATCTTGAAGAGCCTCATAGGATGTAAACATACTCCTATCCTTGCACATATGCTTGGTAGCACCAGAATCAATAAAACAGGAACCATCATCTTCCACCATATTGGCTTCCGTGATAACAGCAACAAATTTTTCTTTGCCTTTATCTTTGCTTTTATTGCCATGTTTCTGATTGTAAAATCGGCAATCACGTTTTATGTGGCCGACTTTACTACAGTACCAACATGTGACTTTCTTCTTTTTGTTGCTGTGATTCTCCTTAGGTCCATCATCATTTGACTTCCTTTTCTTTCCAGAATGTTTAGAATTATGTCCAGGCTTTCCTTCCTCAATCATATTGATTTTGGAAGATTCAGGTTGATCCCTTTTTTCAAGTTTCCTTGTCTCTTCCTCAACACGAATATGTGTCCCGAGGTCTCGTAGAGACATATCTTCCTTCTTTCGTTTCAGACTTTTCCGAAACTCTTTCCATGAGGGAGGCAATTTGTCTAGGATGCATGAAACAGAAATAGTCTCATCCATGTTTAAGTTTAACTGTTTCATTTGTCCTAAAATGCACATCATCTCATCATATTGATTAGAGATAGGACGATCATCAGACATGACATAGTTCATGAAATGGGAAGTTAGAAATTTCTTACTAGTCACGTCTTCGGTTAAGTAGCGATTGTTCAGAGTCTCCCACAGTTCCTTTGCGGTAGGGGTGTTCTGGTACACATCAAATAGACCATCCGACAGAGCGTTTAGAATATGTCCTTTGCATATTTCATCATCGTTCAACCACTTGATCCTCGCCCTTGCATCAGCCATGGTTTCACTTTCGGATTCCTCGGGCTTCGGTGTGGTCAGAACATAATCAACCTTCAGATTGAACAACAGGAACTTGATCTTCTTCTGCCAACGCATGTAGTTTCCTCCTTCAAATTTTTCCAACTTTACAAAGTCGGTGGTTAATTGTTGCAGGTTTGCCATTTCAGAAATTGACGTATTTCGCCTAAAGATTGTTGGAAAACTAGAACACTAAACTTTATTGAAATACTACTTTATTTAACAATAAACTGAAAAACGAAGGTAGAACTACTCCGGCTTCAAGTCACGATCAAATCGCTTTCCTTTAGGCGAAATACGTCCCACATAAATAATGCATATGGTCCAACGAATTGCCTTTAGGATACAATGAAGCCTCATTAGATTATTTGCACTTAATAATCTAATCCTAAATACTTTGTAACTAATAGCCTTGATAGTGTATCATACACATCTGCAGAATGTGTACACGTATATGTAAAGTAAAAGTCAAGGAAAGAATTCTAACTCACAAATTACGAGACTCGAACTAGTATATATAGGCCGGGAGTATATGACCGTTTGTCCGTTCGTGAAACATGATGTCTTTTAGCATGGCAGTTAATAAACTGTCATCTTTATCTCAACGGATTAACACTAAAATAATAATATTCATTATTATGTGCTATCCATATATATCACACGTGGAGTGCCAGGTTATAATTATCTATAACCATATATGTGCATACGGATGTATATAGTTATTATATATATCCATACTAATTAGCCACAAAATTCATGAGCCCATTATTATATGAACCAATCACCTTTTAATTTTCTTGGAAGATTATTCTTTAATAAAGTTTGAAACTTTATCTATCTTTCAAGACTTGGACAAAAGTCAACTTTCATGTTGAAAATAATCCAACAGTAAATTACCATTCATGTCTACCAATACAACAAATTATCATAGACTAACGAAATATACTAAATCGTTGTTACTAGTGACATATTTAATCTATTATTAAAATGTTACAAAATGCCCCGTACAATTAATAGTCTATTGATGTCAATTCAATATTGAACAATAATTATTATTAATATACTTAAGCAGTTTGACATGCCATATATTATAAAATAACACATTCTCCTAAAATTACTTAAACAATATACATATAATTAAATCAATAGTGATCTTTTACTAAAGTAAATAAAATTATTCAAACAAACTAGATATAAAATCATTTATTCCTAATATGATATTGTGTATTTAGTCTTTTTTATATTTTATATTGTGTCTCGACTCGCGGAATCCATATGTAGATACACTTGTAACATAAGTGTATCCCTCTTCACTCGTCAGCTATTCAGCGGCTTAACCATCGCGACATGCAAGTTCTTGGAACAAGACGAACTTGTTTCTGGATATTAGTACATTACTCATTAGTCATTAGGGTTAGTTTGTTGGGACCCCTATTTTGTTTGAATGTTACATAGTAGTAGCCTAGAAGGTTATACTGGGTTTGAAAATTGGGCCTTTATTTTTGTATTTTGGTATTTGTAACCAACCTAAGTATTAACATTGGACTTGAAAATTGTAATGGATTTTTGCAATCTTTTAGTATTAAAAGTAATTGTTGGATAGAGAGTTGGTACGGTATCATACCGGTATACCACGGTATTTGAAAACATGTACCGTTACCGTACTGAAATAAATCGGTACGGTATGATACCAAACCAAAAATGACGGTATATCAATATTCCGGTATTTTCTGGTATTTTTCGGTTCAGCAAATGCGGTATCCCAATTTTTCGGTATTTTTGCTTACCCCTATGTGCGTGTTAGGGAGGGTATACCATTCTGGAGATTATATCGACTTAGATATATTTAATTCAAGATGTTACATAGATGAATGATGATGAGACTTGTGTTTATGCTTTGTGATTTCAATATACTATGTGCCGTAAGCTTTGACAGCAGAGATTATGCCATTGCCATGTGCTTTCCATTTCCAATTTCCACCTAATTCGATAAAACCGCTAGAATAGAGAACAAAATGGTTTCATCATTCATGCGTTTTGTTATGTTTTGAACCTTGCTTCAAAGTGTTTCTACATGACACAAAAGTAACGACAATAAGCCCTTCCTGTTCCAGAATCAAACAGTTAGCCGGCTAATCAGAAGAGAGACATACAAAAAGAACATAGGTAGCAATCAGCTGCAGAGTATGTAATGAATGGAATAAGGCTATGTATGATGATATTGGACAAGCATTCCAAAAAGCTGTACAAAACACAACAAATTGAACATTTATACAAACTACATGGTTAACCATTCTAAAGAACCATTGAACATATTTGCTTGTTCTCATCAATCCTCTTCTAAATCATCAAATTCTTCCTCTTCGTCATCGTCGTCAGCAGTATCGTCTTCTCCAATTTCTTCGTCCACAACAATAAAACCTCCTAACGTCTCATCTGAGTCCTCATCATCTGAATCTTCATCACCAATACTTTCCGTTTGGGCTAAAAGCTTCTCTTTTCCGGAACCCTTACTTGGTTTACCATAATCCTTGGATCTAGTAGTCATAAACTTAGCGACTTGAGATTTGCTTGATTTATTTACTGCTTCCTTCTCCTCCTCCTCCTCCTCACTCTCCCCTCTCCACTCATCATCATCACCACCATCCTCGTCATTTTTACAACTCCTCTTCCTCTTCCACCTTTTCCTCCCTCCTTCATCATTCTCGCTTTCATCCCCTGGTTCCTCGATATCCCAATCCCAATTCTTGATATCTTTTATCATTTTCTTTGGATAAGCATCAAACTCATGCCCAATTACCACCAGTCCAAACTCTGCATGGTTTTACAATGACCAATTTTCTGTTAGGTAAAGCCTAAAAGGGAGGAGGTGACTCCGGTTGAATTCACACAAGTTGCAACCTAATAATTAATCAGCCGAATTGTCTACAAAAGTATTTAAACATACTAATATTTCTTTAATAGATTAACAAAAATAAAGTATGCAATGTCATTTTCTTCAACTCAGATAAGCACATTAACTTATGCATTTGTTTCATTACACTGAGCTAGCACACTAAGAGGCCGTTTGACAACACTGTTTTTCGGCTGACAACTTTTTCATCAAACACGTAATTTTTGTTTTCGCGCACTGAATTGTGTAATAAGAAGAAAAAGTAGGGTTGGAGTGTATATGATCATTTTAACTATTTTCACGTATATTTTTTCCTTTATTTTATTAATAAAATAAGGAGTATATTTTAATAATAATTTTTTCTTAAATCAGACAAATCAGCCGATTTTCGTGCTACCAAACGGGCTCTAAAATGGCGGACAAGAAACTAGTAGATAAAGAGTTAAGACAAAAAAAAGCAATGCGCAACTAGGTAATTGCTGTAGTGATGAAGTATAACCCTAATAAGAGATAATCCATTCACAATGCTGCGGCCAAAATTGTGTAAAATTTGGTTAAAATCCAGACCTTTAACAGCGTCGATGTCTGATAGATTGATGGAATCAGGGTCCAATTCTTCAACCCCTTGTTGCTCATAGTCCGGATCAGTGCCAACCAGCGTATCTCTCTTCTTACCCTTACTACCTTGAGCTTCGGAATAAGTTCTTTTGAGCGTGAACCAAACGGGGTTCTTCGCTGAAACACAGAACATGTCTCCGCTCTCCAATTCACCTATTTCGGATCTCCGGTACGTCTTCACTCCGCCGCTCTTGCCATTGTGGACCCAAACCGGGTTCTTCCCGACAACTTCGAAACGAACCGGCGGGCCATCGCGTTCATCGTCGGGGGAAGGGTAGGGATGGAACGATATGTGTCGGCGTGACACGGAACGGTCGTCGTCGTTGTAGTTGAAACCTGCGCCTCTGCCGAAATGTGTGATGGATCCGGGTTTCAGTAGGGTTTTAGAGCCGTCGCCACTTTCTATTTCCATTTTCGTTTAGCGCTGGCCGGGCGAGCTAGGCGGCGGGCGCCGCTTAAATGGTAACGGGAAATTCTAGCTCTCACGAGTCAAAAAAAAACCGCGAGCCAAACTACCATAATACCATTGGTTATTTTTCGTTACATTCACGGGTGGGCAAAAATACTAATAATAATAAAAAGGAAAAATTGATAGTAATAATCCCAACTATTGGCGGTTCGTCTATAATAATGAGATATTATCCAAAATGGGACTAAAAAAGTTTGGAAATTCCAAAATAGGACTTCCATGTTTTTATTCCCAAAATAGGACTAATTACTGTCATGTTTTGGCAGTACCAGACTTCAAACATGGCAGTATTTTCCAAATTTGGCAGTAATTAGTCCTATTTTGGGAATAAAAACATCACAGTCCTATTTTGAAAATTTCAAAGTTTTTTAGTCCCATTTCGAGAACTTTCCCCTATAATAATCCCAACTATCGATTATTTCAGAATAATCCCAACTTTAGGAACCTTCCGCCAATAATGTTCCCTATAAATAAATTTTTGTAGTTTCTAAGGTGGATGAGAAGAGATATAAGAGCATCTCCAATGATACAATGTGCGCGGTACACATGTGGCATGAGAGATATAGACACAAAATATTGATTTTATGACATTTCTCTCTCCTTCTTTCCACGATCTTATGTGTTTTTGGTAAGTTTTTGTCTGCAATGTCAACCACAATGTCTACATCTAGACATTGTGCTTGACACAGTGAAGAAAAACTTACCAAAGTGATGTAAGATCCTTCAAATAAGAAGAGAGATATTCTATTTATTGTTTTCTAATTGGTTATTTCTCATGCCACGTATGCACCGTTAACGTTTTAGCATTGAAGATGCTCTAACAAGTAACTCCTATAAATAATCCCAAGTTTTATTTTTTACGCTTAATTTCTATTTAAAATTCACCATTTATAGGAGGTAATATTTGGTCATGGACCATTATTGGCGGACGGTCCATATAGTTGGGATTATACAAAAATAATCAATAGTTGGGATTATTATCGGCGGACCGGCAATAGTTGGGATTATTATTTTCAATTTTTCCTAATAAAAATCGCCATACCGCACTTACCGTACCGAACGGAAAATACTGAAATATTGGTATACCATTATTTTCGTTATGATATCATACCGTACCGATCTATTTCGGTACGTGAAGAGAGATACACTTACTCCGTATGTGACAAGTGTATCTACATAAGGATTCCGCGAGTCGAGACACACAACTTTGTCCGAAAGTCTTATTCAATTTTTAAAAAATTAAAAAAATGACTAAATACACACTATCATATTAGGAATAAATGATTTTATATCCATGTTGTTTGAATAGTTTTATTTATTTTTGTTAGAGATCACCATTGGTTTAATTATATCAAATTTTGCATACCGAAAGTTTTGGTACGGCAAAGGTATGAGAAAAAATATAAGGTATACCGTACCGACCACCCCTAGTTACAACTATGCATGGACCCGGTTAGGCGATGCTGATTGAACGGAAACCGGGTCTTGAACCGTGTTATAGATCGAAGCGGGTCCATTATAAGAATTTCGTATACAGGACTGATTTTTCGAGTACCTGGGCCCGATTTCTAATTTCGGACCGAACCAAGCGCTCTCGGTCCCAGTTTCAATATCATCATTCAACATTTTTCTTTTTTGATTTCAGATTTGGAGGACCCCAAAATAGCGTTGGAATGGCTATTAAAGCAGTTGGGACGTGGAGACGTGGAGTTTGAGGGTATGGGGTGTAGGAACGTCCTAACCGATTATAGAACAAGATTGAGTGCCTAACCTCTTGAAACATTCATGTATTTTCATGATTGGTAGAAAAGTCCGACAACACACTCAAGAACTAAACATAACATCAATCCGCCAGTTGTTGAAGGAAATGATAACCGACCAAGAAGCGAGAGTACAGAAGAATAGTAGATTAGTAAACATTTTGTATTGTTGTCTACATATTTATTTTAGCATTTAATTGCTTACACACATAATTATACGTGTTATGTACACTTCAAATTTAATGTGTTTTGCATTGAGTTTGAAATTTTAATTAATCATTTTTATTTTTATAAATGTACAAGGTCAGTTTAATTTTTACAATAAACATTCATTTCATTTTCAATGTATATAATTATTTGGTTTGTATATAAATAACTACATAACCGCTAAATACCAGAGTCTGCCCAGTTCTCCTTAATAATTTCCAAAGACCGGGCCGGACCGAGACCAAGTCCATGCCTAATTATAACCAATTGGAGACTTGTAGTTAGTGTGTTACTAAATATATGAAGCACGTTAATATGTTCTATAGTGACCATGTTCACATGATCACATGATAAATGATAGAATTCACTACTTATCTAAACATTTGGAAAAGTTCGGGCTATTTATCACCCCAACATGCTATGTAGTGAGCACATTGATGTGTTTCATATATATTTCCGTGTTCGTGGTAGCTTGTTTAATATGGAAAATTAATTAAAAGCACTTCCATTGAATTATATTATTATGATATAATGTACTCCCTCCGTCCCAGAATTAACTTCGATTTTGACTGGGCACGGAGTTTAAGAAAGTGAGAAATGTGTGGTGGAGAGTTGTGCAGAGGAGAGAGAAATGTGTAAGAATGGCTGTGAACCACAAATCCTTTGCTAAAAAGGGAAAGAGGAGATAAATTTGGGACGAACCAAAAAGGAAAGAATGAAGATAATTATGGGACGGAGGGAGTAATAAAATTCAAAATAAATTTTGTTCACTCTTTAATACCATCTATATAATTCAAATGAATTTAGGGGTTCAAAAGGCCTTAAATGGTTTTCTCAACTTTTAAAATGGTACATTGGCAATAAAATGGTACATTGAAATATTTAGGCCATGTTTGGCAAAACTAAAAGTCTATTAGTAATTTAGTACGAGTATTATTTATTCTCAAACTTACACTGCAAACTACTCAAATGCTAAAAAGACTCATTCATGATAATAGTACAAAATTACAAATGAGACAGAACATGACGATCTTCCATGTTCCGGTCTCCTGTTTCACATTGGTGGGTACCATGTGGTGGGCATAAGGGTGGGTAGTAGTACAAAGATGGGTATAAAACTGTATCATCTCCGTTGCACTAGCATTGATATATGAGAATGTGATACAGTTATTAACAAAAGTGAGTTTATACAATTGATGTTTTAATGTTTTATTGATAAAATAAAAATGAGATAATTAGAGAGATGATTCAAATCGGGAGTGTTTGCAACTTCTTCTGCTTTTGGAGTGTTAACAGAAGCAGAATATCCCATATGTAAAAATGAGATTGTTTGACTAAGAAAAGTCAAATTTGAAAGTAGGGATGTAATATTTATTTGTAATCATCCCACCGATGAATACAAATATCCCAAAACTGCTACACCACGTCCCCTCCAATTCCTACTCTCACTAAACTCTGTTATTTTCTTCCATTAAAATCATACGACCTTCCTTTTACAGCTCTGCGTATTGCTACGTATCATCTGCAAGATCATGCCTACTAATCCTAACAAAGATCAGTTCCACATGTCCGATCTCAGTTCTTCCCTCCCCGCGGCGGCCGCCGGTATTTATCCGTCCTATATGCTTTCACCTTCGTTTAGCAATTTCATTTTCATCAGTTGTGCTTTTTTTTCCTTTTAAAATCTGTAGCTCTGAGCGCAGAGGATCGCGATGGCTTAGTTGATGCGTTGAAGGTGATTCTCTGTGCTATTTTACTATCCGCACTGAAACTATACTGTTTTCACTTTTCAGTGACGAGTATATCATTCTTATGGTATTTGTGTTTGGCTTTGTCTAATTGCGTGGTATGCGATACAGAAAAAGCTTCACAGCTTGGCTAGGCGGCATTCGAATATCCTCGAGACTTTGACGCCGACTGTACGGAAGCGTGTAGAAGCACTGAGGCAGATTCAGGTTCGTTTGTCGTGTGTGAATTTGGGGCATTTTCTATTTTTAAGAGTTCACTACGGTCGATTGCTCTGTCTTCATTGGAAAGAAGCTTACAATTTCGTGGACGTTAATGGCGTCGGCCTTGTTACTAGAACCTGAACTTCCAGCTCTACAATGCAATCCTTTCTCGACCAGATCGAAGAAAGTGGTGATATCGTTTTTTGTATTTGCAGAGCCAACATAATGAACTTGAGGCCAATTTTTTCGAAGAGAGAGCAGCGCTTGAAGCTACATACCAAAAGCAGTATGAACCCCTTTATACCAAGGTAAAAAAAAGTAGTCTAGCGTTTTTTAATGTCAATTATAACTACCTCTGTCAGAAATACTCCATACTCATTCATAACTTTAAAACTCATTTACACCTAACTGTTTCACTTAAAAAAAATCTCGATACATGTGGCAGAGATATGAAATAGTGAATGGCATTGAGGAAGTTGAAGGTATTAGAGAAGCTTCTCCTCACCAAGGAGAGGACAATGGAACTGAAGGTGGGATTTCCTGCTCATGCCAATTCCATAATTTGAGGATTTTTCTGTGTCATAAGTGTTCTGGAATAGCATTATGTTTGATATATTAGCATCATACATATTTGTAGAAAAAGGTGTGCCTTACTTCTGGCTGAATGCAATGAAGATGAATGAGATATTGACAGAGGAGGTAAATTTCTTGAGATGCAACATTTAGCAAGTCAACAGTTATTTACTTGGCTGGTTTTGTTGTCTAAATTTCTAATTCTTCAACTCAAAAGCAGAATAAGTAGAATAATCTACTTTTGGCTACCATAAGAGCTCTTAATCATAGTGAATGGGTAGTAGCACTTATTCAACCACTTCTTCTACTGATAACAAAAAGTGATTACAGATCTCAGAGAGGGATGAAGAGGCTCTAAAATATCTGAAGGACATAAAGTGTTCTAGGGTTGAAGATTCAAAGGGTTTTAAACTCGAGTTTTTCTTTGACCCCAATCCATTCTTCAAGAACACTGTCTTGGTGAAAACATATCACATGCTTGACGATGATGAACCTATATTAGAGAAGGCAACTGGGTTAGTTAGTTTGCCCCTTAATTCATGTCTTCAATCCTTATATATTTTTGTCTGCCTTTAATTTTTCATTTGTATCTGGTGTCTTATAGGACGCATATCGAATGGCATCCTGGAAAGTGCCTTACTCAAAAGATCTTGAAAAAGAAACCAAAGAAGGGGTCAAATTATGCCAAACCTATAACTAGAACTGAAAATTGTGATAGTTTTTTCAATTTTTTCAACCCTCCTCAAGTTCCAGATGATGATGATGAAATGGATGATGATATTGTAGGCTATTCCCCTTTCTGTTGATATTACTGTAGCAACATACTATTTGATAGAGTGCTTTCAAATCTATATTACTTTTTTATTAATTGGCTGAATCTTTGAACAGGCTGAAGATCTTCATGAGCAAATGGAACAAGACTATGATATTGGGTGTGTGGGCTATCAATTTTCTAAACTCATCACTAACACAAATCTTTTTTGTGATTATTATACTTGATATGAAACTGAGTTTAAGGATTACTTTTTACTCAGATCAACTATTCGGGATAAAATAATCCCTCATGCTGTATCATGGTTTACGGGTGAAGCTGCTCAAGCAGATGAGTTTGATGATACTGTAGAGGACAATGAATGTGATGAAGATGAAGATTTGGATGACAATGATGATGAAGATGGAAAGTGACAGCAAGGTGAAAATTTAAGGAAACCTACATAATAATTGTAGAGATTTTACATTCATTTTTTTTATAGCTGGTTGCACATAATCTTTCACTTGGTATGTTTAATACCCTAAAATGTTTAATATCCATAAATATGTTTAGTGATTAATTTAAATATGATTACTGGTGTAAATATCTAATTGTATTTAATATAACTAAACATGATTAATACCCTAAAATGTTTAATATCCATAAATATGTTTAGTGATTAATTTAAATATGATTACTGGTGTAAATATCTAATTGTATTTAATATAACTAAACATGATTAATACCCTAAAATGTTTAATATCCATAAATATGTTTAGTGATTAATTTAAATATGATTACTGGTGTAAATATCTAATTGTATTTAATATAACTAAACATGATTGGTGATCAGTGCCATTAGTGAGTTTGAACAAATATTAAAAATATATTTATTGAGCTAGAATAAGTTTCTTTCTTTCTAAATTTCTCTTCTATTTCCTCCCTTGAGTTCCGAAAGAACACATATTTGACTGCTTGTTATCAGAATCAAAGGTGGGAGGATGATCACCTTCTGTAACATCTCTGTTTCTTTCTGAGACATCACATTTTCAATTCTTTGACGTTCAAAATGGTTCACTAAATTGCAGAACAATGGTGTGAGATCAACAGGGCAAGCGTCTTCCTCGGTGTAGAAGTAGTAGCTGATTGTGTTATAGAGTAGGCTGGTTGATGGCCTAATAGTAACTTGACTGCTGTTTTTTTCCTTTTTGTTATCATTTTGCATCTAGTTTTTTGACAACACTGGTTTGTTTTCATATTTTCATCCCTCCATCTTTAAAACTTCTATTTATTATCTGGTATTACATAAATAAAATATTGGATTAAAATCCAGAAATTCAATTGAATTAAATTCAAACAATTGTTATGGTTGATAACTTGATACTTGATACTTTGATAGTGCTGAATTTGCTGATTTTTTACTGTTCAGATTGGAATGGTTGAAACCTTTGAGTCTTACAAGATCGATTTATGTAAAAACACTAAAATGATCACTTTAAGTAATTTCAAAATGCCAAGAGCATTGCATGTTAACTCCATACATTTTTCATTAACTACAACAAAAACAAGCTTTTGACAACGTTTTCAAAATGTTACATTAAATCATTAAAGTGTTATAAAAGACTAATGTGCACCAGACAAGTTTTACAATCATTCTACGTGCACACATTGAGTTACACGCCAATTTTTTGTTTGTGGACCAGAAAATTGTTTTTCACTTTTGTAAAGACAATTGCCCATGAGTAGTGCTGGACTCGGGCCGGGCAGCCCGGCCCGGAACCGGCCCGGCCCGGAACCGGCCCGGCCCGGCCCAGTTACTGTTTGGGCCGGCCTGGCCCGGGGCCCGGTGGGTCCACCGGTTCGGTTCGGCCCGGCCCGGCTGCTGGGCGGTTCGGGCTCGGGCCCAGGTTTTGGTGAACCGGCCCGGCCGGTTCGGGCCCGGGCCGGGCCGGATTTTAATATTTTTTTTTTGAAATTTTTTTAAGTTTTAGGTTGGATTAGGTATTTTGGGCCATTTGAGGTGGTTTGGGATGGTTTGGGGTTGAGGGGGAGGGGTAGGGGATTAAATAGGAGAACAAAAAAAAAATAATTGGGCCGGTTCGGCCCGGCCCGGCCCGGTTTGGCCCAGAACCGGGACCGAAACCGGCCACCGGCGGTTCGGGCTCGGGCCTCCCTTTTCTGGCCCGAGACCCGGCCGGGCCCAGGCCCGAACCGGCCCGAGTCCAGCCCTACCCATGAGTCCATATATGACCTTGAAAAAAATTATTGTCTGTGACGCCGATAATTTACTTTTTCGGAGTCACATACATTCCCCTTTACTAAAACGAAAAGAATTTGTATGTTTACAAAAAAAAAAAAAACATTTGACGCGTACTTCTAACCTTGCGTTTACAAAGAGTATTTTTCAACTTCTTAAAACATGACAGTTAGTTATTAAAAAATCGCATTACTTTATACACCAAAAGAATTTTGAAACTTCATTTTAATATATATTGTTGAAACGTTAGTTTATTATAAATTCTATAAGTGCATTAGTGCATACTACATATATATCAATGGTCAAACGTCTTTTGGAGATCGTGAAAGCCCAACTAGAAACTTAACTAAGGGACGTGCAATATTTGATATCAAGTTCATTTTAGAGGAATATCCAAAGGAAATACAACACATTTTGTTTTATGTTCTTGGTTTTTTAGTTTTTCATCTTTATGACATATATTGTTGTTTTGTTTTAAACTTTTAATCCTTCATAGATCATAATAACGTTTGTTTGGCAACAAAACAACCATAACTAATAGATTTTCTCTTGTTCTTTCTCACGTCATTCAAAAAATAGGTAATTTTACTTTTTAGAAGGATGTTAAACCCTATTTTAAAGATCAATTTTACATTGTTTTAAAACTCATATTTGATAAGAAATAATCATAAAATGATAAACTTATAACATTCTAATAAAATATTTTGAACGTATTTTCTCACATACTATATGATGGATAGTCTACCCGGGGGGTATCTTATCCGAGGGGTTATTGCGGGAATAACTAGAGAGAAGTCAGAGCAAAATAGGAGGAGAGAGAGTCGATTTTATTAAATGAACTCGAGATGTGGAGTTGGGATGTAGATTGTGTAGATGATGTCCATTACAAGGAGAAATGGGCTGCTATTTATAGCAGCAATAAATGCGATGGGAGGACACGTGTCAGTAATCCAACGGCCGAAGGGTCACATCAGCCTAGTGGCACCGGCAGTGGTACGTCAACCGCATTGAATGCGGTTGGCGGATGTGACGTGGCATTAAATGCGGTGGTTGGCTGTCTCTAAAAGGAATCTTCGATGATTGAACATGTTTGACCGAAGGCTCCTCGTATAGCCGAGGGCTCCCTGTGCAGCCGAAGGCTCCTCGTGTAGCCGAAGGCTTGGTTCAGCCGAAGGCTTCCCCTGGTGCCGAGGGCATGAGAATGCCGAAGGCTCATGTCTTCGCCCGTTTTTCTCCCAGCAGCATCTTATGCCAGAGAAGGCTATCCTGTGAGTTTTGGAGCCTTCGCCCGAGGAGGCCGAAGGCCCCCCAGTGTGTATTCTGGGCTACTTTGAGGCTTGGGCCGTTGTATTTGGGCCTGAGTTGTTTCTTGGGCTCAACGGACTTGTGTAGGAGAAGTAGGAGTCTATGGGCCGGGGGTCCCCGGGCCATATACTCCATCAGGAGTCCCTCACTCCTTTTGCCGAAAGGTACTTGAGGGAAAAGGAGTAGATGTGTTGTTTCTTCTGGGGGCTTCTCCATTTCGCTGGGTGCTTTTCCTGGAGAACTTTGCCTACTGCTGATTGCCGAAGGCTTCCCTCAGTCCCCCACACGTCGAGGGTTTTCTGAGGGAATTATTCATGATCTTCGTATGTCTGCCGGGGGCTCCCCTCAGTCCCTCACATGTCGAGGGTTTTCTGGGGAAAGCATAGATGTATTGCATGCATGTGTTGTGACGAGGGCTGCTTCATTTCCGCAAGTGACTTGTGGAAAATTTCTGACATTTTGCTTTGCCGAAGGGTGTAATGGTGTACGCACCCGAGGGCTACATGTGTTATCTGTGAATTTTTGTATGAAGAGATTTTTGTTCTGTAAGATTCCCGAGGGGTGTATCCCAGTCCCTCACTCCTTTAGGTCGAAGGCAAGTTCGGGCTGAAGGAGTTATGATGTGTTGATGAGCTCCCGAGGGGTTAGCCGAAGGCTTATACTATTATTTGCTCGTAGCCTCTCGCGGGTGGTGGAGCCGGAGGCTACCATCCAGTATACGCGTCGAGGAGTGGCAATATTGACAAGCGAAGCCTCTTGTTGCCGCCGGATCGAAGGCGTTGTGTTGGAATTCATTGGCTGAAGGCTGTGGTGAGTGATAGCCGGAGGCTATCATTCGAGGGCACCCCAGTGTCGCCGAAATATAGTCGTTGTAATACAGCCGTTGGAAGAGGGGCACACGTGGCATGCTCCCGTTGGTTGAAGGTGGGCGGGTGCCATCCATTGGTTGAACCGGCGGCCCGTAATGATGGCCTTTTCAAGTCGAGGCCCAGTTCTCGAGGCTGAAAGCCTATATATACCCCAACTCCGAACTTATTTGGTTTGTGCGATAGTTCTTAAGCGAAGCTCTGCCCAAATATTTCTAGAGAGAGAAACACCTGCTTCTGATCGAATCCCTTACCTTCGAGGTCAGTTCTAAACCTGTTCTTCAGCTTCTTCATATATTTCGCTTTGTGGCCTTAGATCTTGTGTTTAGAGTTTCTAGCATCCCTCTCCCGAACCCTTCGACTATCTTCTGTTATTATGTCTTCCGGGAGCGACTCACAAAACCTGTCGAGGGAACCCTCCGCGTACCAGGAGAGTATTTCGGAGGTAGACTCTTCGAGCGAGCAGTCGTCGGTTAGGGATGATGCAGCCGTAGCCGAAAGGATTCAGGGCAGCCTCCGGATGGAATTAGAGGCGGAGGAGTTCGAGCAAGTCGCCGAAGATGAAGAGATGGCTCTTGCCCTCCAAGTAGCCGAGGAGGAGGAGGAGAAAGAGAGGCTACGAGTGACTGTTGCCGTGCTACCTCCCCGCAATGACAACGAAGCGGGAAGCTCCCGGCCTCTCAATCCGGAACCTCTGAGGGTTGCTCCGGGCAAGAAGAAGAAAGCGACGGGTCCCCCGAAGAAGAAGCAGGCTGCTGTGGATGCCGGGCAGCCCGTTGGAATACCCGAGGGGCATTCTTACCTCAATACTGATGCGCTTGAGCTGAAGACGGTGGCGACGAGCTCGGACTATCATTCCACTCAACTTCTTGTAGGCCCTTCGGCGCAGGTGGTGGAACCCGGACCGGAAGACCTGTTATCTCATCCACCTGAAGGGTGTTTCTCCGTCCACATTTTGTCCGTGGATCTCGGCCTCCATTTCCCCCTGCATCCCTTCGTCGTGCAGTACCTCCGGTTCGTAGGACTCGCCCCCTGCCAGCTGACCCCTAACAGCCACTCCTACCTGGCGGGGTTTCTGTCATTGTGCGATTCCCGGGGGGTGGAGCCTACCCTCGACCAATTTTTCCTCTCCTTCAACTTGTGCAGGGGGGGGGGCCGCCAACAGTGAGGGATTCGCCAATCTCCAACAGCTCCCGGGATGGAGGCTGTTCTCGGAAGTGCCCTCGTCCCACAAGGGGTGGAAAGACAAGTTCTGCTACCTCCGGGTACTGGGGGCTGAGTTCCCGAGGCCCCTCCGCAACCACTTCCGTAGGCACCTCAAGGTTGGGAATGCTGCTCTCGAGGGCAACGGAAGAAAGCTAACGGCAAAACCTCCGGGATCTGAGAAGCTGATATCCATCAAAGCCGCCACGCTCCCCGAAGATCTCTTCAGGCTAGAATTCCGGCGATACCGCCTGCCGGGGGAGAGGGATGAGAGATACCCCCCAATCGTCCGGGGCTACCAGAATGCCGGAGGTTGTTGCCGAGGGTTATTGATTCAGGTACTTAGGAAATTTTTGCATCTGTCTCGTTTTGATTCTAATTCCCTTTTGCTTTCTGTAGGTGACATAATGGATCCGAAGGCATTCGCGAAGCTCAGCAAGCAGCTGGGCAAGGATAAGAAGAAGAACCCGACGGCCACGAACCCGGCGGCCCCAAAGAGACAGGAGGATGAAAGGCCCCTGAAGAACGCTGAGGCCAATGCTGTTGCCGGGGGCTCCGAGGCGGTGGAGCTTAAAAGAAAGAACGCTGGAAAAGGCGTCAAGCTTCCGGAGAGGAAGAAACCGAAGGGGGAAGCCGGGCAAAAGGATATTCCCGTGGTGGTCATTGTTGACCCCCCAACCAACCAGCCGTCGGTCTTCACCCCCTTGGAGGACTCCGTCGAGGGGGATTGGCCCCTGGAGACCGTGCATTTCC